CCACTGCTTTAAGTGGCATTTATCAACCTGCAGAGGAATCTTGTGATCTGTAGGAGTCATGGAATACGAAACTGTTGGACAATGACGGGGGATAGCTCATGGTTTCTACCAAAATTGTCCAAATTTAACCTGATCGTTTTTCCCAGATTCGGCCACATGGGCCTAATTCCGGATATCACCCGATTCATCCTTATTTAAGCTTAAACTAGGCTCGCTAGAGGTGCCGTAATCATAAATGTTCTTACCTCAGCCATAACCATGGTGGGGCTGAGTTAGACCCTCTGCCCCTGAAAGTCCCACTCCGGGCCTCCTCTACTTCAAATTCCTGGATTTGCCACTGGAGAAGCAGACACAAAAGACACCATATTCACCCCAGATCCACGACTGCGCATTTGGTATCCTTGTTTTATATTAGTTCTATTAATCTGATTAAATAGTGTCACAAGAAAATAAGAATTAGGATTGGAGGCAAGCTTTAATCACCGAGCTACAACCCCAATCCCCTCTACATAATGGACCTTCCCGCTACACCTCGCCCCTTGAACATCGTGGCCGGCCCTGGTCTCTCCTTTTGGAAAGTGAAAAAAAAATGATCGCCCAAAACGCAACAGAGGTTATTTTTGGGCGTATAGAAAACGACGCTTTCAAGGGGGCATGTCCCAGGGCCCCCTACGGTAGTGTTGTCTCGATCAGCCCCACTTTCGGCTGCCAACCCCCACTTTTTGGACATCTCTGGATCCGCCCGACCACGCCCACTTTTGTTCGTCGGGGACCTTGGACCCCGGGCAAATCCCTGTACTAGGCCTACTTAATCTATGATTTTTCAATCTTCACCCTATATGAATAAATTATCTTTAACTGGAAGAGAAAATGGGTCTAATAAATTTAAACTACAACTTTTACAACATGACTGCTGAAGTTAAGATTTTTTTTAGTGTTCACTGCTTTGAAACAATATTGCCGGCTATATTCTAGAAAAAGAGAAAGGGAACCGAATGTTAATAATATGTACGGTAATTTAAGTAAATATATTAACTTTTCAATGTCGTGTATATTTGTATTGTTAAATGTTATGTATAGGCGCCTAGTGCACATTCTTCCGTAGCCTAGGCGAGGGTCTTACAAAAGATTCTGCATAGGCGTAACTTCACGTAATGAGGCATATAGGGTTAGTAGACGGAAATAGTAGGTCTGAAAATGGACTCGTTCGTCCCTCACCCGCCCAAGCAGAACTTCAATATGCAGAGGTGTTTATTATTGTAGTGTATCTGGATTTTTCTTAAAAATTGTCTTTCATAACAATTTTCTGTATAGGTCTACTACTATATTACACTAAAAACACTTTAAAAGGAGTAACTCTTGAAGTTACCACTCAACTAGAAGAGTCTGTTGTTCCTAAACTTATTGAATCAGGTACTATTAAGTTTTATACTCGTTTTGTTGACGACACGCTAGTACTAGTTAAGCCCAATGATTTCCCCAAAATTCTAAGCTACTTTAATGCTTTTCATAGAAAGATAAATTTTACTTTTGAATCATTTGAAAACAGTGACATAGTACATTTTCTGGATTTACAATTTAACAACAGTGTAGGAAGCATGAGTATATATCGTAAAAATACACATACAATACAACAATATGTCCATTATGATAGCTTTGCTCCATGGAATTCGTAGTTTAGTTTCTAGAACCCACAGATTGTGTACTCCTGATAAACTTCAAGCAGAGCTTAGTAACATTAGGAAGTGTATGTCTTGGAATGGGTACCCTTTAAAAGTTGTTAATAATGTACCGGTACTTAAGAAATTAAATTAACCTAAATGTATACATAGGCCTACTGATGATAGCTTGATTAAGATTTGGGTTAGATTGCCTTCTAGGAAAACCAGGTGAGTTCATTTTAGGTAGATGTTTAAATAAGGTAAAGAAACACTCAATTAAAGAGGTAAAATTTATTTCATTTTTCATTTATTTATTTGACATCAAACGGGCCAGGGGTTGCAGCAGCAACAATGCGCCATAACACGAATGTGTCTGCAACCCCTGTACAAACAACAGATTACATTGTTAAAATTCAAATATTTACAAATTCAATAAAAAAAAATTTCAAAGACCAACAAATAGAAAGGTCCAGTAAAATAAAAGCGAATAAAATGCAAGATCCACAAAAAAAAAAAATATGCAGTTGAAAAGGGAAATATAATTAAAATGAAATTTTACAGAATCAGGGAGTTGCAATTTATACAAAACTTTATGTATTATCAATTATGTGTTTTCTTAACTTAAATAAAAATAATTTAAGAGGGTGAACAACAGCATAATCTTTAATTAAAGGGGGAAGCGATGACCAAACAACAGGAAAATTATGGATTGAAGTATATTTTAAAGCATCAGTACGAGCAAAATGATGAATAAACGAGTAACTTTATGGCAGTATAAAAATGTTTCTCATTTTATATCTACAAAAATCAAACCCCTAAGGAGTACAGAAGTTCTGTTGTCTATCATTTTTAATGTCCAGGGCTGTAATAGCGATTGAGGGTATTGGTAAGAC